CCCCCATTGAAACAGGCAAACAAAAACTATCTTCATTACCTGAACAACAAGTTCATTAATTCTCTCTGTTAGAAGCGTCACTTTCTCCTCATTCTGATTTCCAACAGTTCCGTTCAACTGAAATAAAAAGAAAAAACACATAAGAAAATATAATGTGATGTAGACTGTGAAAGAAGAAATAAATAAAGTTAGCAGTTACAATTATAAAATTTAGCAATTTTTCTCACTGAAAGTTATGTTTTCCTTGAAAATCTGCCTCATTCTTGAATCCTGAAGCATAAATTTTTTTTCTTTCAAATATTTGTGATATAAAAAGTTGTGCCATAAGTTTTATCTGTATCACATGATCTTCACTTTATAAACGTTTCCCTGAACAGACACTACCAGTAAATTCACCTTAGTGGTGGGATAAAATTAACTCTCTACTCAAATTATAGTAAGCAGGAAATTAGAACATAATAGCCGTTCATGAAAGGGAAAATAAATCAACCTACAGCTCCCTGCTGACTGTTGAGAGCGAGACGCTGGTGACCTCGTCGTATTCGTTTTTCTACATCCGTGATCAAGGTTTGAAGAAACCTGATAAAATCCTCCTCATAGCCACATTTTTCAAATCGTGGACTGTTTTGGTACCTGTTGAGACATCAACAAAAGTTTTTACTGACTAATCATACTTCACATTGTGAACAATAAAAAATTCTGTGGCAGGTAACTTATTACAAAAAATTTGAAAGGTTAAAACCAGATCTATTTACAAACACTTCCAGTCTGTTTATCACAATTTATACTTTATACTAAACTTTTCATCTACCACGGAATAGATATTTTAATTTTTTAATGTAGGTGTTTTATGCCCCCCATCGACACAATTTAGCCTAGGAGGCAGGCTTTGACCCTACCTGTCAGGGCAAACCCGGACTGAAAGGGATACATCCCACCCAAAAAAACAAGATACTCAACAAAACTTTTTCCCACACAGAAATTTAACTCAGTTCTTCTGCAAGTAACTGCAAAGAAACCCAACTACAACACCAAAGATGTCAGTGACCAGATCTGTGAAGACATGTTTTGTGCATGGTGTGTGAGTGTATGTGTATGTTCTGGATGTGAGTGAGCATGCCACAAACAAGAAGTCTGGCAAACAAAGAAATGCAAAAGTGTTCAGTAATCAGGATTAACCCAACCCTAAATAAAACCCACCTAAAGCTTATATAAAAACATTAGCAATTCTGATAACACATCCCACTTTTATGGTCTCTACAAAAGTTTATAGGAAATATAATGTAATTGAAATGCAGCATTTACGAATTTAACCTTCTTGACTACTCTCTCAACATCCAACAATTAAAGAAAGTAAGCCTGAACTTATATTCAGTTTGTAGCATTTTGATGTGCTATAATTTACTTACTCTTTCCTAAGGGCTTCATCATGGATTTTTGTACATGGGCCTGGAGTGAAAGATAGAATATAGAAAATTTAACAAAGAAACAAAATCTCTCTCTCTCTCTCTCTCTCTCTCTCTCTCTCTCTCTCTCTCTCTCTCTCTCTCTCTCTCTCTCTCTCTCTCTCTCTCTCTCTCTCTCTCTCTCTCTCTCTCTCTCTCTCTCTCTCTCTCTCTCTCTCTCTCTCTCTCTCTCTCTCTCTCTCTCTATATATATATATATATATATATATATATATTACATAATTTTAAAAATATATAAATTATTATTTATGTGTCAAAACATGTAGAATCAGGTGCTCATCAATTTTTGTGCATGTGGAGTTATTGGTATCATTTGAAAGCTTATTCATTTGCCTTGCTTTCTTTGAAAAAAACAAACACCCATCTATCTTGAATAGTAGCCGAAATTAAAATATTTGCCATTGAAGGAGGTGGGGGTAGCATGGTTTCAGAGGTAAAATTTTCAAGAAAATACCCGCCAAAGTTTTGTAACTTTTATAGCTTGAGATACATCATATTTCCACTCCTTAAACCACGAGGAGATTGGTCTTATAAATGTAACTCAATAGACTGACCAAACACAAAATGAGAATAGACATCTGCTTTCCTCTTGAAAAAAAAAAGAATGGTGATCTGAACATATAACCTCAAATTGTATGGATTGAATTATCTAATTTAATGTATTCATACAAGGTATCTGATCCCATACAATCGGAGGATTCTAAGTAGTGTCCTTTTAGAAATTTTGATTTATAATAATATCGCTCCATTTATTATTTTAATATTATTTCATTATTTTACTCAAATCAATTCTATTGTTAGTATTATTGTTTTTTATATTGATGTTATGACCGTGTTTCTTCTTCTTCTTCTCATTATCAATATTTGTATTAATCATTAGCATTATTTATTTATTTATTTATTCATTCATTCATTTATTTATTATTTATTATTTATTCATTCATTCATTCATTCATGTATTTATTATTTATTTATTTATTATTTAATTGATGGGTTTGTTTTGTTTCTTTAAATTATCATTAATACTGCCCTTAATCCATAATCGTGTTATCGATAAAAATAGACGGTAACATAAATGATGACACTATAAGCGGGTGGGGAGGGGGGGGGGTAGGCAATTACAGCGAATTATAGGCGATTTCCAGGTTGAGAACCATTGATATGGGGTACATAGAAGCGGAACCAATAAATTGGCAAAAAGATATTATTAATCCGCATACAGGAAAAAGAGGCTAAAACAGCACCTGGACATGGATGGCTGGTGCCTCTATAAATAAATCATTGATGGTCAGGTCAGTCCTTGAAAACTGAAAATCTACATATTTTGTGCCATTAATCAACAAATTTCAGTAAAATTCACAAGGAAATGTGTTCTTATAGGTAATGGGCCAAAAAAACAAATTTGATAATAATTGCCAAACTGGATGAAAAATGCCTGTTTCTTCGATTTCATTATTTTGATGAGCGCCTGGTTTCACCATGATGAATGATGTCTCACACACACATATATATATACTATATACTCTATGAACATCACAGTACAAAAATATCTCAATCTTTCTACTGGGAACATAGCCTTGGTTGGCACAGGTAAAAAAAAAGTAACAACCAATATTTTAACTGATTTAAGGCATGATGCGGGGGAAATTTTCAAATTCGTTAAGAAGAAGAAACTAAGCTTACAAATGTGATAGCATTAATATAAGTAGAGTGGAGAATTGGGCTTTGAAGAAAAAATTTGAAAATTCTTTTGTGTTGCTATGGTAACGGCTGCCATATTGCAAGGCCATATATAGAAAATGTACACATTTCTAAAAAATCTATCCTAAGGTTATAAATGATTCTAAAATACTACAATAAGTGGTTTTGCAGCCTTATGTGACTGTTTTAGTGGATGGACTTGGTATTTTTTATGTAGGAGGACAAACCTTTTCAGAATCGAGGTCCAAACTAGGGAAATACTTTAACCAGGAGAATCTCAGATCAAAACAACGGATTAAATTTATAATAAAATCATTTATTCAAGATGTTTTTTTGACTTCACTACTTATTACACTAGAATAATGTTTCATCTATCAGTATACCAAAAATTATTAAGATATCTTAAGAACTTTTCTAATGATAGATTTTTTGCGTTTCCACCCCCCTTGAAAGAGCCCATTTTGAGAAAAAAGGCCCTAAAGTTTTGACGCGCAAAACTTACTGTAAGTTGCGTCCAAAAGAAATTTGAAAATGTAATCACCCAGTCATCATGTGAAAGCCTTGCATTACCCTCTCATGCAGCATACCATTTTAAAGCTAAATAAATTCTTCATCATCTGACACATTAATATTTAATCTATTTTTTTAAGAGACGCCCGAGATATGGTCACTCAAAATTGACCTAAAAAATCAGGCTTTGCAAAATTGTGCGAAATCAAAGAAACGTAAAATTGTCTTTGCGCATTTACTGAAGAGTATCAATACTGATCAAAAGGCGATGTATTGCATGCCCAGTGAATGGAGAATTTTGTCTTTGCAATAAACAATATTTTATTACGATATTTCGTTGCGATAGTTTCAAACATAACGGAAAACAAAGAGATCACAAATACCGCACAAAACTTGGACTCAACACTAATTGTGTTTATTGTTAATTTGCTTAGGAACCATTGGCTTTGAGTTGTGCACAAACCTTTGGGCATCGATTCTGTGAAATTTTGGACATATTTATCTGTCATTTCATTTTAAATGTCACAGAGAGTTGCAAACAAATGGTCTGAACAGGGGGAAAAGTAGTTTTTCTCCAGCCACTGTTTCATGGGACTTCACATACCTGTAGGATTCACATCGGGGCTGTTTACTGGTAACCACTCTAATGTTGACTTGATTTGGTTTTTTAACTCTTATCCAGCGTCTGTGCCCAGATGCGTATCTTATCAGCAACCGATTACCTCGGACTCGCCGGGCAGGCCGCCGGGGTCACTCAGTGTGTACTGTTGGTGTACAGCGCGCGCGCCGGGAAACGTGTGTTTTCGCCATGAATACCGCGGGAGTGTGTTAACTGATGATGAAAATAACGCTCTATCCTTCATAGCATTCTATTTATAAAGTGTTACAAACACATGAATAACCCCCTCTCACAAGCTGATAAGACATTACGAGTAGTTACGCCCATTTGAATAACCTTTCTGGACGCTCTTGTTGTTATGAATGACCTGAGGTTCGAAAAGGGATAATTTAGGTCAATTTCCGAATGTTTTACACTCAAATTGTTCTTTGTACCTGCACAAGGGTATTCAAAACTATTAAACAAGCTCATTTTTTATCAGGTAGTATCATTTCATACAAAATCAAGCTCATTTGAAATATTTTGTATAGAAAAATGGAAGTCTTGTTTCCTGACTATCCTTTCGAGCTCCTCATGTCTAACTGGGTCAATTTCTTCTATAATTTCATTGGACGAACATCTAGAGCTATCAACTTGGCATGTTTTGAATGAGACGTATGCCTCGATTACGAACCAACGCAGGTGGTTCTAGAAGAAGGCCACAAACGCACACAAACTCAAGCAGACTGACGCACACACACTTGACCTGCGTGAATGGGGATCCGACTCGGGACCCGAATGACACGTAAGAGGATGCGCGCTGCGCGTGCGCTGAGCCAGGAGCTACACTGACTCGGGACCAGAACGCAGGCGAGGTGCCGAAATAGGCTTATCGGGCTACATAAACCCGGCTCCCGCAGGATGAGGGTTAAGAATGCTCTAATGGCATTGGTCCTGTGAGAAAATGCCTTGTTTAGCATGGGGATGACTACTTGAATGACATCATGACGAAAATAAGGGCAAGACATGACGTTCCAGCACTTGCGCGATGTAGTCCACTAAACCAAGGCATCCGGTGATTCTCACGAGGGTGGCTCAGTGGCTCTGTTCAATCCACCCCAGACCACCCGAAGTCGTGACAGTTTCGTGGCCTCTGTTCCTCACTGACAGATAATTGTGTTCAAAATCTTACACGGTACATGTGCAAAAGAGTTTTTGAGCTCGATAAGAAACCAACAGCTCATGAACAAATGCAAAATTAAAACTATGGAACACAAGTAATTGTTACGTTCAGGTTTTGTCAGTTATTTGTAACTGCTTTGTTTTTCAATCTTCGTGGGTTTTCTGTTCAGGTATTCGTTGTTGGTGTTTTGGAAGCTCTGAAGGGCGTTGAACATACTTTTGTGGGTGTTTGGCAGGTGCTCTGGTGTGGTTTGCTCCTTCTTTCCTATAAAAAATCTATCATCCCTATCTCCCCTCCTTCTTTTTAATGTTTGTTACTCTCTTGTAACATCTCTAATCTTCGGCACTTATATGACCTTATTGTGTTGCAAGTGCCGTAAAACTCTTATAAGAACAAGAACATACTTTTGCTAAAGCGATTTATATAGTCATCTTTTACAATTTCAAAGTCATAAATGCCATAAAAATTTGCGCATCAGATGAGATTGGGCATCTCCGTTGCAGCGCATCCTGCTGTATACTAAACCTCAGTGTTGCGCTGGTTTTGCAAATATTGTTTCATCCTCCATAGATTTTGCACTTCCTTGTAAATTTTGCTGGCACTTTATTTGATGGTGGATTCTCAAAGGCAAAATAAAAAAGCGCATGTCCGTCATTATCTACTTCTGTATCTTTCTTCATTGGTGAAACTTTATTTTTGGCAATGGGGTGAGGAGCAAGTTCATCCTCATCTAAAGTTTCCTCTTCACTATCACTCTCACGATATGTTCCTCCCTATACCTACACCTCTAGTGCCTATCAATGTTCGAACTGTCGTGTGATGTGCTCAAGAATGTCGATGCCATTGCAGTAGGCTGTGGTAATCCTGAGAAATTGAGGCTAGGGCATCAAAGTATTTTGGAAAGGTGTTCAAAAAGCATTTTCTGAGCTCAATAACTGTTGAAACTGGGGTAGTGCCGAAACAGCACTCTCATCTCGTTGATTAGACGCCAACATCAGCATCAGCAAATGTCATTGAAGGAGGCGGTTAGGAGGCTGAAACAAAAGAATGAATTGACTGTAAGGGTTGATCTAAAATCTCTTGTCTGTCTGTCTGTCTGTCTGTCTGTCTGCCTGTCTGTCTGTCTGTCTGTCTGTCTGACTGACTGTCTGTCTGTCTATAAATATAAAAATAAGCACAGTTTTTGTGTAGAACAAAATAAGACAGTAAGGGGAACATTGACCAATAATGAGTTTCTCAGATAAGGAGACCTGGCAATAATATTGAGAGCTTTCGTTTTCAGTCCTCGCCTTGTAGTTGCAAGAAATAAAAAAAGATAAACGTGCTATCAACTTTCCTTATCTCTTTATCTGTATAAAAATGCATACATGAAAAAAATACGCTTGCAAATAGCTTAATGAAAGAATGAATATATGGTTCTGGGCCAAAGACATAACACCCACACACGCATGCGTGCACTCGCGCGCGAACACACACACAGACACACACACACACTCACAGAGAGAGAGAGAGATAGAGAGAGAAAGGGAGAGAGAAAGAGACAGACAGACAGAGAGTAAGAAAGAGAGAAAGAGGAGAGAGAGTGTGTGTGTGTGAGAGAGAGAGAGAGGGAGAGAGGGAGAGAGAGAGAGAGAGAGAGAGAGAGAGAGAGAGAGAGAGAGAGAGAGAGAGAGAGAGAGAGAGAGAGGGGGGGAGGGTGAGAATTCAATGTCATATTATCCTTCCACTTACTTTCCATCCACGCTGGTGTCTCACTCTCAGCATTCGGTTGTTCATCAATGTCGACCCTGTTGTCTCTCAGGCTCAGGGAAGGTTGGTCTAAGTCCCCAGCTGGTTGGGTTTTTTTTTTCTAGTCCTTTTCTTCCACCATTGAACCCTCCAAGTTTACAACGACGATACAGAACTTGTTCGGTCGTTTTCGTACAATGTTTATCTGCACACTGTTCAAGATTTTTCGTGCATGATATTCAAGAACTCTGTTCAACCCGCTGTCTTTTGTATTAACAAACGAATACTAAAATACGTACTTAGAATAAGTTAGAACGGAAGTTCTCCGTAACTTTCCTGCATTCATGGTACAACCCTATTCAGATACTTGTGGGAGACTTCAAGGCTCGCCCAAACTAGGGCGTGTCGTGTGGGACGGTTTTTGGCAGGTCAGTGAGTGGAGACAATGGCTTGTGGGGATGGGTTTACTGTTGGGTTACGATCGCTGGGTCAGACTTTCGTATACTGCCAATATTGAAAAGGCCTTCCTTGCATTTGGTTTCTTCGACCCTACACAGCACTGTCGAGGGCGAAAACTGAAGAGTTGGCTGGCGGCGGCGAGAATGAATCGGAATACGTGGCTTCCTGCACAAGATGTTTGTCACCGTAAAACGAAAATATGGTGTTTTCTGTCTGAGTAGTTGTTTTTTTTGCGCCATCGCCCTAGTCAAGGCTAGAGAATTTAACGTAGATCGGCTGTATCGAGCAGTTGTGCTAACTGGCTTCCCCCCAAAAAAGTCCTGAACTCTTCCGATTCCGGGAAATCAAGTGCACGGGGGCTTAAAATTTACGAAACACTTTTCTCATATATCTCTTGTCAAGACTGTTTTTTTAAAAAAATGTGCAACAGATTCTCAACGATCGGCCAGTCGGGCAAAATTCTGACTTTTTCAGGAATTGGATTTCCTGATTTATGCGGAAATTCGGAATCTCTTACCGAGCTCTCGTTAAGGGCCGTATGACGCGGGGGGACGATCCCCATTTCGACGCCATGAGAGTGGGCTTTGGCCGACATCTTCGGTATTTGACCAGTTCTGGCAAGTTCAAGTGCTCATGCACTGTAAGGGGAGCTCATTCACAAAAGGTTGATTAACTTGGATTTGAACTTAGTTAAACATGATTTAAACTGCACATGCACGTGCGCAGTAATCTAGTTGCATATATCATGACGACATATCATTCTCAGCTAAATAATAATGGAAACAGCCATATTACTTGCAACTTATTTATCAATGATCAAGTCCGAACTGCCTTTGAATCGCCATTTTGCGAAATTAGAGATCACAGTCTTCAAAATTATGTATAACATGACTGATTTCTGAGCGTGTGGAGAGCTTTATGCCCATTTCATAAAAAGGACGTTTTTTAGGGCAAAAAATTGCGGGTTTTTTTCACTTAGAGGAAAGGGGGTGCCATCTTTGTGAGTGTTTTTGAACATGTTCTCCTATTGATAGAGACGTAAGACCTTCATTTTGGGAAAGTAGATATTTCAAAGTACTCGAATCCGTTAAAAGCCCAATTTTGATCTGAGACTAAAAAATGACGTCATTTGACCATGGCCTTCCCCCACATCATGCCTTAAATTGTAACAATTATGAGAGTAAAACTGAAAAACAGGTATCGTTTAGTTTTACGGCACTCACAACATAAGGTTATATACTGAAGATTAAAAGTGTTACAAGAGAGTAATAAACACAAAAAAGAAAGAGGGGAGATAAGGACGATAGATGTTTGACAGGAAAGAAGGCGTAAACCACACCAGAGCACCCGCCAACTGCCCTAAAAAAACATAAAACTGGTCAAAATAAATCACATTGTCCACCTCATTTCAATTCCATAGGAACAAAGAGCAACTAATTTCAAACACCCAAGGACAAACCTAAAACACCAACTAATTATCTTAAAAATCATGAAAACAATACTTATATTTCTAGGGGAAGTGACACTGAGCAATACCAGTAGATAAAAGATGAAAAAGTAGACATGTTAACAAAATCAAACATTAAACAAGTACCGATAATGAACCTTCCTATGAGCTGACATGGAACAAATTTCCACACCTTTCAGAAAACTATGGAAGGCGGAAGGCAAGTGATGTTACAAGGAATTTTTAAAAAGTTGAAAAACATCCTGGATTCCTTTTTGGTTGTAAGTCTCCTTTACCAGAGAGGTGATCTAAGTCTTGTAATATAATTGCTATTGTTGAAAATCCACTATACAATGTATGCCATCACTGGACACATTACGACAATTTAAAAAAGAAAAGAAATGGTCCCAAAATGAGTGAAAACTGAGTTTTCAAGAGCGCAGAGTAGATTGTGAGCAGTTTTCATTAAAAATAAGAGTACTCATTCAGACAAATAGATAGCAACTCAACATTATATAAGACACTGATACCTAAGGAAAGACACCTGGGTGAGGCACAGACTTGCCTGTGTGAGATGCAAACAAAAGAAAGAAAACAAATAATGAATTTACTGGTGCTAAACAGAAACACATTCACTTCACTGAAGATACTCACCTAAATCGGCTCTTGTGTTTGTAAAAAGCTCATGGGGGCAAAATGCACACAGAAAGTACTTGCATACCTGCAAAAAAAGAAAAAAGATTTTCTGGTGACTTAATAAATTTAGGCCGGCTCTTATCTTATTTTTGTTTACATGAAGGATTTTAGTGTTTGCTTTAGGGGTGACTTCTCACAGTACCTTTTGAATGCATTTTCAAATGAAGTATAATTGTTCGGGATAGCTGCCCCAACCAAAACTGAAGTATTTGAACACTGTGACATTTAAAAATCTCTAGATTTAGCTCTAGAAATTGAATTCAATGCAGAAAAAATGCTTCTTCCCAGTCCTCACAGAATGGCAGAATGAAAGATGACGCCTAAATCTCGCAAATAACCAAAAAATCTCGAGAATGGAAACCGTTAGGAGAAATAGATATCAAGTTTATTTTCGCAAGCGTTCAGAGAAATAGTCACTTCGATAAATTTAATACTGGAGCCTATATCCACGGCAGACTCTCCATCCAATTCATATTTTCATTAAGATTAATTTAAAGGAAGCAAATTGAGCAAGCATGATCCAAATACCCAAATGAGAGAATTCATAATCCAGTACCACATGACGTGTATGTGATCATGTGACACCTGCAACTTGCAAGTTTTTGCTGTTGCTGTTACAATTGATTGCAACTGGATGGGTACAGCAGTTGTAGGGTACCCTTTGCCTCCAAAGTATGCTGCACAAATGAATTCTGCAAAGAGAGGCTGTTTGCTGTAGTTTAACTCTATGTATTCTTATTAATGGGAGGCGCCAACTAGTAAGTTTTTAGTCCCGTCTCAATTCTATCTTCATCACGGCTTTCCGGCTTTGGAACACATGTAGGAAGTAAACAAATGACTTTAGGGACAAAAATAGCACGTTCTTTTACAAGTCTTGTTGTATGCTGATGAACACTTTGAGTCATCCAGATCGGCGCTGATAATGATTTCGTGGTCTTAAAGGCTGTTCCGACGTTGGGAGACATTTTTTCACATGATTTCTTTTTCTTTTTCTTTCCTTTTTTTATTGATTATTTACATTTTTATTTTCATTTATTGAGTACATAATCATTTTTCTGGCCAGTGAATTTGATAAAAATGGATTATAATAGAATACCACATTTGGTGATATTCATGGATTGTGTTGTTTGCACCAAGGTAAGGTTACATATTTCATTAACACATTACACCCTATGGGTCTGGACGGAAAGTCCATTGTCAGATCCTAAGCAAGGGGAAGGAACCCACCTCCCGTGAATACAAGCCTTTAAAAAAACCTGTCCCCGGGGTTTTATGCACCCCGCATAATTAAGCAAAATTTGATCATTTTTTGCATAATTTCTGCTTATTTTCCATTACCATTCTTTGTTAAAATTAACAGAATCGCATAATTTCACATTTTTGGGCTCAGTTTGCATAATTTCAGAATTTGTTTTGCATAATACCGTGGGGATAGAAAAACACATTTTAAAAATACTAAACAAAGTTTTAAAATCCTGAAAAGGAAAAAGTTAAAACGAAAACTAAATGTAGTTTCAGAAAAATACAGTGGAACTCGGATTCAACGAGGTCGCCGGGCCTGACCTAAAATCTCGTTGAATCCGAGTGTTCATTATAGCAATCATGAGGTTTTGTGTAGATAATTACAGGCACTAAGCAAGTAATGTGTATAAAGAGAAGTCATAAGTAGTGCTTGAAATGCCTGCATATTATGAGCTGTATAACAAAAAGATCGATTCGTTCAAATGCACACGCCTGATTGTTTACCAAAAAGTTGTGTTGCTGTGTAGAACCCAGCATTAGGGCAACTTTTGATTCCACTGACCAGCACACAATTCATTACATAGATCTACGTTAAGACTAGCTTATCATTGTAATAATGATCAGTTGCTTAGGAAAAAAAAGACTGTGACGCTTTTGTATCTGCGACGTTCAACGCCTGGACCGCTAGCCCCCCCCCCCCGACACGCACACACAGCCACACGTGTGCAGGCCGCCCATCCGACCCCGACACACGCCAGAGTAGACATGTGCGTGTGCACGATGTAGGTGCAATGGATGGTTTCCGCGAATAGATAAAGTTCGTTCTGGGAGAAAAATGAGCGAAGTCACGTCTGCGGGGGGATGTTCACCCTGGAAGCGACCTCGTTGAATCCGAGCTCGCTGATTTAAGTGCTCGTTGAATCCGGGTTACTTTTATTGATTTTAAAGAAGAAAAAAAAGGGGAATCTATCTCATCTCGTTGAACCCGAGTTCCACTGTATAACTTTATGTAGGCACAAACTGTTCTAACTTTAGATCAATCTGGGTGTCCGACCCGTCACTCTCACGGTCGGGCCCTAGATCTCAATTAAAAAATTACAACGTGTGATCAATCCGAACCGCCTCAAACTCTTGCTACGTTTTCATCAAAATCTGAGTCATCTGATTTGTCATATGAGCCATTGCCAAAACGAGGGAAAAAACACACACATCTCACATTAGTGTGCATAAAATGTGATGCATTAGTATTTATACCTCCAAAACTTATACACATGTCAAATATAGGATGTAGAACCTGCATTAGCAGTTTCAGACCCCATGTCAGCATTACAATCTTGAGTTTGTAAATTTTGTGCCAAAAATGTTCGTTTTTTAGTGATCCCTGGACTGTCATTTTGAGCACACCAATGCAAACTTCCAAGAATGTCCAAAATTTAGTATTTTTGGGTGGGTTTTTTTTACGTGTGCTTTGATCCTATGCTATTTGTCATCGAGAAATGTTAACTTGCTCAAGAAATCGGTTTATTTGTTTGCAAATAAACTAACAATTTGGATCACTTGTGCATCAGTCATGTCGTCACGGACTAGGTGTTTCAGAAAACACCATTATTTTTCAGTAGACTCACCGTAGCTGGCTAAATCTTTTTGCTTTTCATCGATTATTCAATACTTCAAAATCCGCGATGCGCGAAAGAAACATCAGGTTCCTAGATCTACGATTTCGGTCGGCTGTTTAACATTTCCCGTGATTGGCGTCACTTTGCGACGTACCGGAAATCCGAATTTCAGCCTACTTTTGTTTGGAATGGATCAACAGTGCCCGGATATAATAGTTTTCTTGAGTGACTTCCCTTTACCCGTTTCCCCAGAACAGCGGAAGCAACGGGGGAAAGAAAAAAACGAAACTAGTCATTGCCGTCCACGTCCGGTGACGCACAAGAATCTTGCGTTGAATGTGACGTACTGGACTGTTTTGAGTGTTTTTAGGCTACCCTATTGAATATTTTAGTGAAATTGCGGTGTTTACATTGGATTCCTGGAACAAGAGTGTGATGTGTGAACAAACTTCGAGAGATGGGTCATTTCTGTGGTTATAGATTTAGCTTTTGTGCTTAGTGATGACGTTTGGGGTGTCGTCATGCAGCCGTACAAGACTGACTGGCGTACTAGAAATTACATTGTCCTAAGAGCAAACATTTTTAAAATCATGTTTGCTCTCTTTACTCAAACAAATAAACAAACATGTCCTTGTTTACCTAATTCAAAAATACACATTTGATCTTTGTTGGTATGATATGCCTTTTTCCAATACATTGTGTCATTGATTCATCATAGTTATGTACAAGTAATATTTGTCATCATTGCTAATATCAATAAGTTTTCAACATATATTTCATACATGCAAGATTCATTAAGAAGCAAAATACGCCTTTATTGATCTGTGTATCTCATAGTGCAAATTTGTTCTTTGTAGTAGGCATGATTTTACCTTTTCCCAGTATGTTTTGTCATTACTGTTATGTACGAGTACTGTTTGTCATAATTAGCAACATAATTGTGATCGTCCACTGTCTTTGATATGACCTGACATCTGTTTCAAAGCAAAAGAAACCTCTCCTGGCTTTTTAAAAAATTCTTAGAGTGCCTGAGTAGAAGAGAACAAGTCACGATATTTCGCCTGCGAACACAACACATATCACTAAATTCCTACCTTAATAGGATTCGCAAGGACACCCCACCCGACTGCCCGCTGTGCGACTGCCAGGATGAAACAGTACCACACCACCTCTTTAACTGCCCAGCACTTTGTGACCTGCGTAGCACCTACCTACCTGCCTCCCCAGACATCGGAAACACTCTATACAGCGACAAAGCACAGCTGATTAAAACCTGTCAATTCTTTGCCACATCGACAGACCGAAGGGCTAGAATCCAAATGGCCGCTGGATCGGGAAAAGTAAAGTAAAGCATCCTTATAGTGCGCATTCCTCTCTGGAGGCATGACTTTGTCTTTTCCTGTACATTGTGTCATCATTGTTATGTAAAAGGCATGTTTGTCATCACTGTTATGTACAAGTCAGCTCCATTGATTTTGAGCTTTTGCCTCATATTAGTTTAAAAATTGTTTTACACATGTGTTTTTCTGGTACTGAGGCTTTGAAAACTGTATTTGTACAGCCTTTCACTATTGTGTTGTGTTGTCAATGATAATGTCTAATGTGTGTCCTTTCTTGTACATAACAATGATGACATGTTCTGAGCACTGCATCATTGCAACAAAGCTTGTCATTTTTATTACCATTATGAATGGAGTTTAAAGTGTACAAAGTCTTTGTTTACTAAACAAATGGAATTTAAAGTCTATAGCTTGCCTTGCTGTTTATCTGTTTTGTAATCACTGTTACATACAAGAAATACAGTGGTTGCCAAACCAAAAGACCCTTATTTCCAAAACCCTACATCTCCTTGCCCTGATACTCTAGGAATATGAGCTCTAAATGTCAATCTGTGACTGACAGAAAAGGGAGTCAAATTGGTACTTAGAACAATTTTTTTTGCACCACTGAGTCTCAAGAGTCTCACGTTTTGGCAATTGCTCATATGCTTCTTTTTGCTCAAATCCATCGTTATTTTACTTTTACGAACTCAATTGTGTCGCTTTTCAACAAGTCGAGACACCTTTGAACTGTTGGTAATGCGATCGCACTTCCATCGGCTCTAATACTAAAACTACTCTCCCGAAAAATTTCGTTTCGGTATCAAACGAAAGAAGAAACTTTTTGC